CCAGGAAGGCCGAAGCTTCCCGAAGTGCTGAACGAGTCCGTCCGAATGGTTCCGAACGGCTTCTCCGCACTCTCCAGGAGGCTAGATTGGGTGTTTTCGCCTGCCAACGCCTCAGGCCAGCTCTCGGCCAAGTCTCGCAGGCCTCTGACACAGCTTGGCCTCGCGGGGACTGGGCTGCGCTACCAGCTTCTCCCGCCCCCGCCCCCGACGGAAGCCGAGGAGGCCCGAGGCGGAGCCGAGCTCCACCGAACGTCCCCGAGCCCGAACCCGAACACTCCCGAGCTTGAGCTCCCGCCTCCTCCTGTACGAAAGAACCCGAGCGCCGCCGGACAGCGCTTCGACTCGGCAGCTGTCGCACACCCCTCCCCGGAGCGAAGATGGCGGTAGGGCGCGGCCTAGAGGCTGCCGGGATCGTGGCGGATACGGCGCCAAGATGGCGGCGGCGCGGCCAGGTGAGTGGGCGGGGCTTCGCTGTCGCCCTGTACTGTGGTCTCGGCCCACAGCACGGGACTGGCGCCTTCGATGACTGTCACTCCGCTGTACCAGCCTGGCGGCCGCGGCCCCCCTCATCCACACATTTGAGGCGGACGTCTTGGAGCCGCGCCGGGCCTGGGAGGAGGGCCGCGACCGCGTCCGATTGGCCGTGGATGCCCAGGCACACCTACAGGGCTGAGAGGCACACCCGCGGTTCACCCCGGCGTACCCGTGGGTCGCCTGTGCACTCGGTGGACGCACCTGTAGCATACCAGGTCACACCTGGGCTCACCCCTGCATACATCTGCAGCACACCTGCCCGAGGCGCATTCTGCACATCTGTGGTTCGCCCCAAGCATACGCGTGTGCCTGCTGAGTGCCGCCCCTGACTTGGAATCTGAGGCCTGGGGTCCCTGGATAAGAAGCCAGGGTGGGCAGGTTAGGCACCAGCAGCCTAAGTGGGGTGATGGTGCAGCCATTGCACCCTGTGCCCGCCATTGCAGTTATCCCAAACTGTTTCTCCACGGAACACACTTTGGGTGTGGTGGGTGCTTAGGGTGGTGCAGCACTCCTTGTACTGCTGCCTGGGAGGTGGCAGCCAGACTCGTGGCTGGCTGTGACAGTGCCCACCACTCCATCTGGGACGAGCCTGTACTGCTAGGTAGCTGTGAATAGCGCTTATGAGAAAGACAACCCCTGTGTGGAGCCGAGGGCCTTAGGGTTACTGCCATAGCACCAGTTAAAAGCCTGGTTTCCATGCCCCTTATCAAGGAAGGGGCATCCACCCACACAATAAATCACATGTGTGTTAGCTTGCACAGGGCTTCTAAATTGCTAGCCCTTATGTAAAAGTCCTCTGCCAATTAGATTTGTTTCTGGATTTTCTTTCGTTCGTTCTTTGGTACAGGGTCTCGCTATGCAGTTCAGACTTGTAGTGATCCTCCCAGCCCAGCCTCCCAGCTCTGGGATTATAGGTGTATGACACCAGGGAACAGCATCGGTACTGGGGATCGAACTCAGGCCCTTGCACTTGCCAGGCAGGCACTTAGACCACCAGGCTATCTCCCCAGCCCTGGATTTTCGTTAACTTAAAAAAAAAAAAAAAGAGTTGGGGCACTAGCTCTGTTGTAGAGCAATTTCCTACAATGCATGAGGCCTTGGGGTCATTCTTTACTACAGCAAATATTGCTGTACTAAAGGGAGGATCACGGGGCTGGTGAGATGGCTCAGTGGTCTAAAGCACCTACTTAGAACAAGCTTAGCAAAAAAGCACAGGGACTGCAGTTCAATCCCCCAGCACCACATGCCAGCCAGCCCTGCCCCCTGGTGGGCTGAGCTGGCCACACACACACATAAATAAATAAATAAATAAAAATTAAAAAAAAAATTAAAAAAAAAAAAAATAAAGGGAGGATCACTACAAGTCCGAACTGCATAGCAAGACCCTATACCAAATGCAGGGGTGAGCCCAGCGAGTGGGGTGTGTTAAATGAGGTTTTCCTTACCCCCACCCTTCTCTTAAAGGTTGGTGTGGTGACCCACAACAGTCAGGGTTGTGGGTCAGTGATATACCACCTTCCTCTCATGAGGGAGGCCCTGACCTCAATCCCCAACATCGGAAAAACAAAATAATAAAAAAGCTAGCAACAGAATCATTGCAAGTGCATCTACTAGTTGCCCATTGGTGTGTTTTGTTGTGTAACAGGGTCTGGCTGTGCAGCTCAGGCAGGCCTCAAATTTCCAGTGATCCTCCTACCTTAACCTCCCAAGTGCTAGGATTATAGGCATGAGATAGCACACAGCACACCCAACTAGTTGCTCACTGTTAAAGATCAAAATTGTGGGGCTTAGGGAATAAATACTGTGTCAAAACCTCATGTCACATCATCTGAATAATTAACATGAAGGGCAGGTACATTCAGACCTCTTAACAATTTGAGACCCCAATGAGCTCATTTTAACTGAATACAGCCCTGGCTTTGGGACTTAACACTGCCAACGATTTACTAGAGAGGCTACACCAGTGTGGAAGTAAACGAGAACAAGAGCTTTCCCAGTATGATGGGCGAGGTTGGGATTGAACTCAGGCCCTTGCGCTTGTCAGGGAAGCGCTTATTCCACTGAGCCATCTCCCTGGCCCCTAAACTTTAGCTTTAATATTTGCTGTACTAAAGAATAAACCCAAGGCCTCATGCATGGTAGGAAATTGCTCTACAACAAAGCTAGTGCCCCAACTCTTTTTTTTTTTTTAACATAATTTTCTTTTTTTGTGATTTATTTATTTATTTGGCAGAACCGGGGATTGAACTCAGGCCCCTGAGCTTGCCTGGCAAGCACTTATCCACTGAGCCATCTCCCCAGCCCCGCGCCCCAACTCTTAAATTTTTTTTTTTTTTTTTAAGTAAACTTAAATCCAGGGCTGGTTTCAAGGTCAGTGAAGACTCAGGACTTAGGAGAACCTGTACTGTAACAACATGTAACTCAGTTGTGCTCCAAATTTTCTGATCAAGAAGATTATGG